TAACATTTCAAGTCCTCATATATTTTTAGTTTTTATTGCATTTGGATTTGATATTTAATTTTAATTTTTACTTAATTTTTATACTTACCGTTTTTTTACCCAATGTCTGCTTTTTATTAATATTTTCCAATGTGGATTGCGATTTTATTTTTTTATCACTTCCTTTTTTACCGTCGGTTATTAAATGGCTTCTTAAATTTTAAACAGCACCATGTGATGTTTTATAAACTTTTGCACAAATGTTACATTTATACAAATATTGACTGATTTTAGTGAAATATTGTAGAATATGTGAAGAACTCCACTTTGAAATTTCACTAACATCAGTAATATTTAAACTCATTTTTAAAATTTGTTTTCCAAAAGTTAATAAATATTTAAAATCACAGCGACAAACAAATAATCGTTACTGAGTCTTATTTATCCACTGGTAAGCCCAATTAGATTTAGATTTAGATATATTTAGAACTATTTGGTCATACTAAGTAGTAATTAAAAACTGACAAGTGATGACACAGCAAATAATATTTAATACGTATGTACTTTATAATATACCTATACTTCATAGTCTATTCAGAATTACGAGTGCTTACGAGTGCTAACGATAAATATCGACATGCCGTTGTTTACTAGACTGCGATGCATTCCATGAATTTTATTGAAAAACAATCGTCGAGTGCAAGACTCCCGGGTAACCTATACGTTATAACTTATAACCATAGGCGTGTCTGAAAATTTCGCGCAGGTATGGCTAATAACATTTTTCATTAGGAAAATTGAAATTTTCATTTAGGATACGAAGACAAAGAGTGACTTATATACAATACACTACCTCGAGAACGTACGTAATTGTAGCTACTACAGTAACTATAGCTAGTAAATAATATAGGTACTCACGCTCTTCAAAAAAATAAAAGGTATATAACATAAAATAGAACTACATGGATACTTATAGCTATGGATATTAGATAATAAATATTATTGATTAATTTTTGTCACAGACATATTATACATATATAATATTACATGTGAAAATATTTATTATTTAGTTCTGTTTTATTTAATCATTCTTTTTACTTTTTAGTAATTATTTTTAATGATTTAAGCATAAACTTAAAACGTAGCTGGATTTTGCAGGTCTGGCCAGAGTGGCCATAGCCGTAAACACGCATATGCTTATAACCATTAGGCCAAAAATAATCACAGCGAGTCGCGAATATACGGATACGCTGTCCCGGTGATCGACAATCGAGATAATTATAAAGCTATTAAAACCTGTATCAAAGCATGTCTGAGAAATAATTTGGAAAAATTTAGTATGAATAAATAATTATATCCAAATATCGGTATAAAAATATCGATGTGATATTTTTGATAATATCGATTTTGTTTGCGCATCCCTATATGCATCTATGCACAACATAAACTAATCTAAAATACGATTAATACGATCATCGTTTAATTTAGTTATTAATTATTATTATTATTATTATTATTATTTAGTATTTAAACAATAATTTGATAAAGAACATTTTATACTAAATTATAAAATTATTTCACTATTAGGTATGACACCCCCCCCCCAAATAAGTTTCTAAATACGCCACTACCTATTGTAGTTAGTAGTTACTAGTTAAATGTTACAATTACTAAAAACTATTCAGTATAGTACAGGGGTTCCCAACCCGTGGTACGCAGAAGGCTCGTTGGTGGTACGTGAAGAAATGTTTTGGTATAATTATTTTTTCTACTATTTGCATTCTATATTATTTAGTTTAGTTTATTTGTTATTACCTAATTTTATAAATATTGATAAAATTGGGTTTGTAATCGTAGCAATTTATTTTTATTATTATTTATTCAACCTGATATTGATGTTCTTGTACAAAATAAACAACAAAAAATATCACATTAAGTTTAAAAAATATAATTGTAATTTAAATATTAAGATTTAACTAAAAATTGATAATTTTTTATTTTATAAATTTAAACTAATAAAAAATGTTAATAAATTAATGAACAATAAAAATATATTTAAAAATATTGTTGACTCCTAATTAAGCTTTAGAATTAAGGTGGTATACGTATTAATTATAAAAGTGTCTGATAGTACTCGACGATAAAAAGGTTGGGAACCCCTGGTATAGTAGAACCATTGATTGAATATAAACTATAGCCATGTTCTCATTAGGGTTCTCATTAATTTATTCTATGATAAAATAATAGTGAATAAATTTAAAAAATTTAAAAATTGACATTTCAATTTATAAAAATAATATACCTATATTTTAGACGATGAAATAGAGATATTATCTTTAATGATCAATAAAGATGAATTTCTACGATATATTACACAAAAGCATAAAGATAACTGTTGTACAATACTCGAACCACTAATATGGGCAATACATTTCAATGTTCCGAAATATCAAAGGTTACCTTTGTTAGAAAAAATATTACTTCAGAATATATCACACATAAGAATAAATTACAGTTTCTTGCCAGAAAAACAAATACTTGGTAAAGCATATGAATTATTAGGAATACCCACAGTATGTGGTGAACCTGATAAGTAAGTACACGATATAAAATTCGTTAAAATGTAAAACTATATATAAATATAGATTAATTAAAGTTTAAATATTTAGTTATTACTTAGGAGTATAAAAGTGCAATGGTAATCTCAAATACATATACCCATATAAAATAATTTTTTTTTTATAATTTATACCTAACTAAATATTAAACATGAATAATGATTATTAATTATTCTTAGATCTTTTCTTAATACATACAAAAAATACAAGCCATATTACCCAGTAAAATATCCAAAAAAAATGAAAACTCCATTGAATAATGAGCATATTTTAATCAATAGATCTATATCTGGTGAGTAGTCAAAATATTGAAATATTTAACGACTTCATTAAAATAATAACTAATTGTTTAAAATAAATTTTAGTTATAAATTACAGTCATAAATCTAATACACCATTTCAAGTAAAAAAAGAAATAAAAAGCAGCACTCCAATCACTGAAAAAGTTCCTAGTTTAATGATAAATCCATTACTAAGTCCAATAAATATACCATTGAATGAGGACTATAGTATTTTATGGAAAGACTCATTTTTCAAAAACGATCATGATTTAAATAAGCAAACCATAACTCTAAACAGTGACAAAAGCAAACAAATAGAATTATCAAATACATTAGAAATAATCAGCATAAATAATGTTTCAAATCAAAAATTACAAAATATAGACATTACTGAAATGGAATACTCAAACAATACTCAGAATCAAATGCATTTTATTAGTAGGGATCCTAAATATATTCAAGCAGAAAATGAAAGCTTACAATCATCAAATGAAAAGAGTTATATAAGTTATATAAGGAATGAGGAATATCTCAAAAATGAAACTAAATATAATGATAATAATATGACTTCAGAATATTTCAACAATATGAAAAAATCAAGGAATAAGAAACGAAAATATATGAAAAAAAATTTAGATGAAAAGCTTAAAAAGAACTTTAAAAAATATTCACATAATTTGTCAGTACAAAAATCAATTCGTATAAAAATACATAAATTAAATAAAATTAAGCGCAAAACTAAGAAATCATTCTTGGAATCAAGTGCAAATGAATCATGGATAAGAATAAAACAAGCTTTCAGTAACGATTCGTTTTCAGAATTAGATAAAATAGCACTAACACCAGTTACAATGAAAAGTAGTCTATGGTTGAATAAACATTGTAATACTATAGAACAAAATTCAACCAAGTTGAATTATAATCATTGGGAAAATAGTATTACATTTAGTGAGAATTCTTCTCTTGAGGTATCCAATATTGTACAAACATTCAATGTTGATGAAAGTAAAAAATACAATGTACCAAGTATATCTTCTATGAATTCACAAATTTTAAGTGAAAATAGTTTTTCTTTACTTAATTTAACCAATAGTTCTCAACAGTTAAATTCAATTAAACAAGAGTATATGAAAGCATCAATAGATAGTTGCAATGACAATAATTATGAAAATTATGAAAATCAAAACCAAGTGCCGAAGTTATTTGGCAACATACAATTTATAGAGACATCATATTCAATTTCAGATGATACCATAGCTATGGTTAGTATAATAATTACAATAATAGTTAGATAATTTTATAACACTTAATAAAACTTATCATGTATAGAAACATTCATAATAATGTTACAAAGTGCATATTTTAACCTCTAATGTAAGAAAATAAGATGATAATCATTAGTTTCTTAAATGATAAAAATGTAATACCTATTATCATAAATCATTCGTGTTATCATGAATAATTTTTTTAGGAAAACTGAATTTCGAATACAAATATTCAAATATTCAAAGCTAACCTACGCAATAAAAGAAGTAATACAAAGAGATTTCAATAGTAAAAAAAAATCTAATTTTTCATTCAATAGTTTATTTATTTTTCTTTTATTAACAAATAGAAAAATTTGTACTACATATTATATATAAAAAAAACATACAAATACAAAATAATATTGTTTATAAATACAAAAGCACTTTTTAATATTAACAATAACAGTATATTAGGCGAGGTCATTAACTAATTTTTTTTTAATTTTATTAACAAATGATAGTAAGCAAATCAATTATAGTAAAAAAAAAGCACCAAAAATTTAAATTCAGAACAAATATTCTTATCAATAAAAACTTTTTAAACAATAAATTTGTGAATCATCAATAAATTAAATTTGGTATTTTTGAATACAAAATATGTTAATAGTTTTTCAATTAAAACTTGTTATATATTAAAATGTTTATAAAAGTATATTTAAGGACGGTTTTAACATGAAAATAAATTTAAATGAATAAATAGTATATTATTGTTGAGATTAATAATTTTTTAAAAGAAATTTATACTGACTTTTGAGCATTTATATTTGTTTGTAATACAATGTAGTAAGAACGGTTTTTTAAAACTAAAAAGGCAGTCGTTTAGTCTTACAAAAACAAAATTTATTGTCAATACTGAACTGAAATATTTGAAATAGAAAAATAAATTGGTTCGTATAAAATTTTGAGCTCACAAAGGTATTCAATTTTTAACTTTTAAGAAACAATAAACTATCATTTATTTATTTATAATTTGGTAAAGATACGTCTTTGGGGCTTGGCTACCAAAATTTAATTTTGATAAATACAACTTACAACTATTATAAAATCACAAAACAAATAGAAAATATTTTTTCTTTAGTGCACTCATAATGTTGCTAATGCTCCATTACTATTAGGCAAACTTATGTCAGTGTCATTTTGAGGACTAGAGTAATTTGCAGCTTCTTGAAGAGTCATCAGCATGTTTAACTAAATAAAAAAAAAATACATTAATAGTAAAATATTAATAATTAACTTAAATAATCATACTAACCAAAGGATCATGATTATGTTCCAAATCATAGCCAACATCTTCTGGTCGTATTCTAATAAATGATTCTAAGGTTTTATGTACTGCATTAGACCATGGATATGACTGAATCACAAACAAAGTTGGATCATTCCAAGCTGCTCTTTTTCCATATAATCTTATTCCTTCACGAACCATGTCCATTACATATGGAACTAAAGAGTAATTCCATAAATCTGAAAACCACATCTGTGATGTTTCTAAATCCATGGGACAAGAAATAAACAAGACAGGACCTAAAAAAAACAACCAATTACAATTGATAATGAATAAAAAATAAAATTGTTTTGTAGTTTATATTCTTAAAATAATAACAAAGTATTCTTAAATAAATAAATATTTTATTAAAAATTATGCAATTTTAATGATTTTATTTCAAAGATAAAAAATTGTTTATATATTTATTTAATAATACTTTTATTTATATTAATGATGAATAATAATTAAAATTTCTTCTTGTTTAATTATTTATATACTCAGAGTTGAAAATCACCTAATGTAACTTCAGATGAACTATGTGTTTCTAGTAATTGATTCAAATGATTTCGTACTTCAGGAATCCATTCTACAATACGTTTTAGTTGTGCATTTCTTTGACCTAGTTGACATTCGTGTTCTACAAGTTTACGTCTCAAATAACGACCGAGGAATCCTTTCATTGGTTCCATATGGTTGGCACACAATACCCATCTGAAGTTATGATGTAATTGTAGGCTAGTAGTAGAACATGTTGACTGGTTTATAGTGCCTATTATATATGGACACTTTGGACTTTGAAAACCATTGAACACATCTGGTAAAGACAATGCTTTGTGTAAATTCTCTAAAATCACAACACATGGAATTTGGGAAGGATCACAATCAGCTTGATCTGATATTTCGCTCAAATAATGTTGCAAATCTTTATTATTAGTTTCATCAACACTAAAACAACATTTTAAATTATATTAAAAATTTTAATATGTAATGTATTAAATAGATGTCATTTTGAACAAACCTAAAAGTAACTATAGTTGAATCATTGCATTCTTTTCCCATTTTCATAACTAGAAACTCAGCAAGTTTATTAGACAAATAAGACTTGCCAGTACCGCTAGGTCCACATAGTATAATTCTATGATGCTCACTTAATAAAGAGACATATCTAAAAATAAAAGAAATTGATACTTTGTTTTTTTATCTTAAAAGGATCTAAAGCTTAACAAAATATAAAAATTGATTTGTTTCAATTCACAAGTTTACAGTTTAAAATTTACTTTACTATGCTCAATGAAATAGGTACCTTTGAAGAATACTTTTTGGTATGAGAGTATCAAATGCTAAAGCATCTAAGCTACCAGAATGCATGGCACCTTTGAGACAAATCGATATACTTGAACCATTTGTCATGCATTCATAGGGTGATTTTTCAGGAGGTTTGTAATCTTTGGTATTAGATATATATCGTGTAATATTATCAATGTGATAGCTCCATATGGAATCGGAACACAGTCCCAATTTAGTAGTTGGATCAATACGTTCAACATAATCCTGAAAAAATCAATATATTTATAGATAAGTATTTTTGTGATAAATCAAAATCTTACTTTGAATCCTTTAACGACAAGATGATCTACCATATCCCATTTTGATTTTGATGAAACAGGTAATGCAGATATTATGCACATTTTGGTTTTATTTTCTTTATATTTGTTGTAACCACCATGGCTACCTAGGAACACATTAACTTGGACCAGCATAGAATCAGAATCTAATGATGGTAGTAATGCTTCTGCCAATTCATCACCTGAATAAAAATATATTTTAAATATTTTAAGTATAATTACATGTTATTCCTAATAAAATTTACTTTGAGTATGATTTGACATTGGTGGTGACTGTAAGGAACTACAACTGGACTGAAGAGATTGATTAGTAACAATTTTTTGTAATCTTTCATTATCTTGTTTTAAATTCAACATTTCATCCTGCATAAAAATGTTGTTAACTTAAAAAACTCTAAAGAATAGACAAAATCAAAACTAAATCAAAATATATTACTTACTCTCATTTTAATAACTGTGTCCTTTAAAGACTCAAGTTGATGCGCTGAGCTCAAAGCTTCCAGTCTTATATCAGTCAAAACAAGATCTTTTTCTCTGAGTTGTTTCCTTAGTTGTTCAACCATTTCTGGACTTGAATCATGATCTACTCGATCGCAATCGTATAAACTTCTAAAATAAAAACAAACGTAAAAACTTATTCATACTATAATTATAAAAATCAAAGCATTTACGTCGTAGATGAATGACTGTTCTTCAATCCTAACCCATTCATATGCGGGGTATTGAGCATGGGTGAAGATGGAGCTGACATATCGGAGAGAAAAGCATTTTGATGGTTTCGGGCAATATGTGCTTCTTCAGCATCCGAGAGCGAGTTGCTGCGGTTCTTCTTTGATCGAGAGAAGGCCTTACTGAATGAACTGCGTAACTAAAATTTAAGAATAGTAAAGTATTACACATTCATAAGTTTTAAAACTAAATCGGATGGTGTTTGAAAAAAAATTCAAAACTTATGGAAATTTCAACTCCCACACAATTGAGTAACTTTTTTTTAAACACCAATCACTTTTAATTAATGCCGCATACGGATATGTGTTGTCGTACCCATCCTCTTTTCTTTTTCTTGTCAGCTTCGGATTGCTGGGCTGAGCTCGATGCACTGCATGCTGACGATAGAGAATTCAAACTAGAGACCGAATCTGTCGACAGTTGACGTGAAATGTTATTGCCTAAAGACAGAAGGTTAAGTGTTTGGAAAATGTAACGCTATAATCGTTTCCTATGGTGAGCGAAACACGTTAAGAATACAATTCTAAAATCAGGACAAATTTTTAATAAATAAATCAAGTGACCGGTAATAAATCATTAATTTAGAGGTCAAAGTATCAAGTATAGTACACAAGTTCATTTCAAAAACATTTAAATATCTATTTTCCACAATGAATTGTTTAAATTGTTTACTTAATCACAAAAATATAAATGTGCTCATAAAATATAAATTTTTATAAAACTATTTGAAATATTGTCCATTACATTTTTGTATCTTTTCAATATCCTGAGATTACAAACTAGGAAGGTCAGATTTATATTCCCAAGTGAAATATAAAAAAAAAAAACATGTTACCAGTGCTAGAATCAGCAACAGAATTAATCGTATGCCTTCTCTGGTGGTTGCCATTAGGATGGTTTCCCGGGTCGGCACTTTGTTTTCTTAACATTTCAACTGTTTGACGTAATTCATGAAGTTCGTGATCCTAGTGAAGAACAGAGCAAGTTCAATGGATATTACCTATATGATTTAAAAAACCAAAATCGAATAAATTTACCTTTTTCTCAGCTGTAGCAGTTAACTGTTGAAGTCTTTGAGTCATGTTGGATAGAGATTGCTCAAACGCAGACACTACGTGCGCCTAAAACAAAATAAAACAAAAATGAATCCTTATATTCCAATAAACTGGATATAACAACAATTACACTAAAAGCACCGATTTATTATTCTAGACGCGATGCGATTTTTAAAGAGTTATCCTCCATAGAGGCAGCAGTATTAACAAAATTTTAATAAAAATGCATATTTTAATGTATACATGTATTGATATTAATGTGCGTTCGATGTGTAAGTTATTGATGGTACCGTGACAATATTAGCTATTGATTGTTGCGCTGATACTAATTTATTTCGTTCGTGCAATTTCCAATAGTTATGACCATCAGTAAGTTTAGTTCTCAACGGTTGTAAAAACATTACACTTTTAACGCGTTGTTCAAAACATAATCTGCTATAGTTGCATACATTTGTAAAATATTGGAAAACGTCCACGGTAAATGTATTGACTTCAATAAATGAGTAAATGTATTGATTTCAAATAGATTGTTGTTAAGCTCGTGGCTTTATTTCGACAGAAAAAATTATGCTTCATTGTATTGTGATTGTGTACTGATGGGATTCGAAACGCGTAAATATGTTTCAATAAAACGTTTTTATACATAGTCGCATATATACAGCTTATACTAAACCCGTTGAAGAATCCGAGAAGTTAGAGAGATTCCCTAGGGCTTGTCCACCATCAACAATATGATCAACAGTAATTGCTATAATCTAAAAAAAAGAAAAATAAACGTCGGATGTGTTTTCAAAATGCACAGGTATCATTCAAACTGTTTGTTTTAAAATACAATACTAGACGTATACCTAGTGCGATAATGAGATCGAAATATTGTGCTCGAATTTCTGCATCTTTTCGTACATCTGATCATGCAAAATATTCCCATACACTATTCTGCTGAATGCAAAGCATTATCGCTATTCATCGTTTAAACAAAAAAAAAAAAAAAAATGATTATGTACTTTGTACAATAAATATGAGCAACTGGTTTTTATCCGCTCCAATAATTGCTGTCGCTCGGTGTTTAAACAAGACCAAACGAATAATACACGTTGTTTTATACATCCGGCGGCGACATAATCCAGTGAATGGAATAGGAATATTCAAATTATAGGTCAGTCGTTTGAAAAATGATTCATAGATAACGATTTTTTTGCTGAATTTTTATGTGCGCCGTGACGATAATCATCGTTTTTCGGAAATTGAAGCAGGTTTGCTGATGATTAACACGTACAAAAAAAAAAAAAACTCGCAATAAATATAAAAAAACGTATACATTTTTTCGGAATATTTTATCTTAGATAGTCTGAAATTAATCGAACATTTTTAACAACTTGGCGTCGATCATAAACGAACAACGGTACGAACTAAGAATATAATAAATACGAAATTATGAACCGATCGAGTGTTTTAATGTAATTCGGTACAAATTAAATCAAAGATGTTATATGTTGTGTATCTTCCAAAATCAGGTTTAATTATTTTTAAAATAAGAATGCACGTATATTTCGCCGATGGGAGAGGAGGGTTATCTTCCTTTTTGAAAATTAAAGTTTAATTTTTATTCGTGTACCGATAAGTACACGGATTTACACATTATATTTTTCGTTTGAAAAGCTCGGGATGGGGAGGTTCCGAGTCGTGCACCACGTATAGTTCTAAGATCGTACGCACGGCTAGAGGAAACACGAGCAGTCGTGGAGCCGATGCATGCGCAACATACGTCCGAAAACTGTGAGGCCAACACGGTCAACAAGCACCGAACACGCGTGTTCTGGGGACGGTGGACATTAATCGACTATGTGTGTTGGAAACGTTTCGGCGGGCCCCCGACACCGGGTAATGGTTTCTATTCCTCCGGATTTGTCGATCGGAACGTACCGAGTCGGGGAGACGGGCTGGGCGGAGCGTCGGATCAACGCAGCTTGGTAATGCACGACAGGATGGGAAAAATAAATAATAAAAAAACATGTCCCGGGCACGTGCAATAGTAAACGACAATATAGTTCGCACGGACTTCATTCACCGAAACACTCTGTATAGCATACAATAGTACAACGGAATTCGATACCTGTTCACCAAACACATTTACAAAGGCAAACAACGCCGTGTTCACATTCGTTTTACACGCGTTTGTCAGCGTTTGCGTATTACGCGCGTTGTCTGTTTGTTTTCATGTGTCATGATCGTATCATTATCATTTTTATTATTATTAATTAGGTATTATTGACGAAAACCGTCCCGCTGAAAACAGCGTACCACGTGCCGTCAATGCGTCGTTCGTCTGACTTATAAAAAAAATGTACAGCCAGTGGACAAATTAAAACAACAAGAACAGTAGTGATAATAGTTATAGCTAAATATACTACTTGCACCATTTCGAATCTGAGCGGGACGAACAGAAAACCAATTATCGAAATGTAATCGTAGCGGACAGGATGTTTCAAGTTTGAGAAATTCGTGTAGAAAAAATAAATAAATTCAACATCAAAATATTTATTTTCACGATTCGAGTAGAATAAGTCCTCTACGGAAACTTGGTCGACATTCCATTAATTGATTATGCATTTTTATCCTATGTGAGCAAGTGCGTACGTACAACAATAGCATACATATTGAGCATATATTTTGCGTTTCAAATATGAAACTTTATAATGGTAGAAATAAAATTCGATTATAGTTTTGCCTGCACCTTAATTTTTTTTTAGAAATCTTGGCAACAACGTACCAGCAAACAGGACATGCATTCGGATAAGTACATGTCGGTTTCGGTAAATGGTTATTACAGTATAATGTTGCAAAGTGGGTCTTGTCCGAGGATAGTTGAGAGAAAATACGAAAAATAAGAACAATGTCGCAAAAACTATTACTATTATCACTCGTTGATTATAATAAGATTAAAATATAAATTACCAACGTTAATACATTTATCATTCTTTTCGCCCGCCCGCCGTCATGAAATGGGTCAAAGGAGTCATCGTTATCGTCGATTTACCTACTTTTATCAGGAAACCGAGTTAATTACCGTGGTTCCTACACATAATATGCTTAGAAAAAAAATAAAATAATAGTAGCAACAATAATAAATCGCAATAAAAACGTAATATGTGTACACATAATATTGTGCGCGGCGAACTCGACCGATAACGAACACATGTCGTTGACCGGCTGCACAAACATACGTATACGCAAGTATTTTTTTTATCTTTCTACCAGCGCGATTGGATATTATTTGAAAATCCTGCGTTCTCCTGGACTAGATCTCTCGAAGGATAAAAGTTTTATCGTTATCAGTTTTTTTTTAAAAAATATTACTATAGCGATTGAATTTAATAACAAACGTTTTTTTAACATTCGATCGAATACGGGGAAAATTTTTTAATAGGATTTCTAACAATAAAATACCTATTTCGTAAAGTTCGAAACTGATAAAATGGTCGTTATGTTGGATAAAGTTCTCGGATTTCAAGTATAGTCAATGTAAGAAGAATAACAAGACAGTTCGGCAACGAATTATAATCAAAATCATATTTCATCAGAATACAAGTAATATAAAATATTTTGACGGAATGATTGATTGAAATGGCTGCAGTAGTAGTCTCCAAACGGTCGTTGCGACCGACATGCGCGCAAAATCAATATAAATATTACACTCTCTGTTATACATGTGTAACAAATAACAAGATTATCGGTCGAAACGAAAAACAACCGTTTGAAAACACGATACATGTATTTGGTTTTCCTCATATCGTCGTCACACATTGCGCAGTGCACACAAACGAGGTGGCTCTTTCACACGGGAAAATGATCGTTATTATATGTTGGTACGGTAAAGGTACATTGAAACGAAGCGAAAAAAATGCCGCATGATGTTATTGTTACAATGTTAAAAATACGAATTTATCGTCCGTGTCACGCCACCGCTGTTAGCGTTTTAATTACCGTATAAACATATGCAACGTAAAGGGGGCGATGAAGGAGGGGGAGAGACCAGGCCGAATAACAGGTCGCGGCGGACGAAAACAGTTGTTCGCGTCGTTTTAATGGTGGTTAAGTAATAAGTAATAACTAATAATAATGATATTACACAAGATGCCTCCTCGTCCACCAACCGTATAACAACGGAAACATGGAAAATATCTGATTTATCTTGAAAGCCCATCGCGCACACGCTGCAGCGTAGGACGCGACTCGAACCCCGGTGGTTTCTATTTTCAAACCATCAACGTACATTACCACCGGGTTCCCGACGGCTACCGACTGCTACATGTACACAATGTAACCGCGGCCGTGGTACTTGAGACTCGATAATGCAGCAGCGTAATAATTTTTTTACGACTAGACGGTTAATACGCGCTTACATATTGTTATTATTATTATATACGTATTCCACACGAACAACAATCGAGTATACGTGATACGGGCCGAGAGGATTAAAAGCGAGTGGGCAGCGTCAGTGGGGTGTTCGCATCCCGGAGCGCCAGGGATCCTCCGGGCGCGTATGTCCTACTACTTGGATTATAAAAACCTACGACGTACAACTCCAAATTATGTACGTTATGATTGATATCAATGCCGTCGACGTGTCCAACAAGTGCGGTTTAAACCGCCTGCGGAAACGGAACGAGGCGGGATGGTTTTAAACGCTCATTTACATCCGCAAGACGAAAACGATGATATTTAAAAAAGCATAGGACGATTTTTTCCTTCATTATATTGGTATGACAAAACTGTTTACTGCAAACAAATCGTCGAATTTTAATCGAAACTTATGACAAAGTTCATTTTTAACACTATCACAGATCAATATGGAACAGACTCAAGCGCGGTTGTTACGCATTATATATGTGTTATTAAATACTTGTTCATCATCATCAGTTGCCGAAAAGGAACTATTTCCACGCATGAAATAAATAAGTTAAAATTAAAAATTGTATAATTCGATGTCAAATCTTATTTTAAAACATCTAATCTGCGTTCTTATGAACGTTTTTTTGGCTATACTTATTACCTACGACGGTAGATGTAAAATGAAAACATTAAAATATTTTCTCATTAAACATTTCTACCTTGATGGTACATAAACGTTCTGATATTAATTGAATTCGCATATTATTCATGGCTATCGTCGCTAATCAATAAATTTATGTACCCATACCTTAATTAAGATTGAACAATATGAATAATTAATTACCCGCTGAGGCGTTATTGCTAAGTCTTATCGATAAAATATTGTACGAATTTATAGTAAGTTACGTTTCGACTTTTTGATCATCGTGTGTGACGTTTAATATAATACAATTCACAATGTTTAAATTTTTCATTATAATCGTGAATACAGTTTTATTAATTTGGGCAACTATAAATCATGTTATTTTAGAATTAATAAAAATTCGGATGTTATTGTTTAGCGTTGCATATGCAGTCTTAAAAAATATCATTAATAACGAAAAACGGTTTAAATTCACGCTAATATCGTACTTATTTTGTGTGAAATTAGGATTTATGTTATTTGCAAAATTAGGATCCATGTTTTATTAATTTGTGTGGTATTTGGTTGTGTTGTGTAGTAATGGAATATATTGATATAGAACTATTTAACCACAAAATGAACCGAGTACACGTACCATATTATTCTATTGCTACAAGCGTAACGATTATTTACAATAATATTAATACAATTAAAGAAATGCCAATGGAGAATGTCAATTAGATTTTTAACAAATACATACACACATAATAATATGACATACATTCGTTCGCGCTGCGTACCTAAATACAAACGCGATTGGTTTATGACGAAAATATCGTTTTCTATGGACTTTTTTCGAGACCAGGTAATGCAAATGATTTTTTATCTTGCACAGGTTATTAATTAATAGAATATTTATAAATCCAACATATTTCGAATAGAAAATGATTTCGCCAAACTCGGAAGTCAGTACTTGTTATGATACCCTCCTTTCCCTTTCATTCCCGTACAATTTTTTTTCTTACCGAGTAATAAAATGTTGTCCAGATCGAGAACAAGTTTCAACGTCATGTTACACACGTTTCGGCTGCAAAACGTTTTAAATATTATAAAGTAATATGTGTATATAGGTAATATATAATACAAAGGACTTAAGGATGCGGAATCTCGAAAGGTCTTTGTGTGGAATTTTTTTCCCGCTCGTTTGCGGACGTCGTTATTTCCGTGAAAATATAAAATGTCACGTACGTACACTTAACGGCAGGGGGTGTAAGACGGAAGCTAAGAGGAGCGGAGTTAAGACCGAAAACGAGATCGTCGGCAGGTATATCGCGGGATCGCCATGAATACGGTACGTCGGAATAATCGGACAACGCACGAGCATACAACAATATATAAATAAACGTATGATAAAATAACGCACCGTCCGCACAGTTATAATGGGGACTCTCAAGTGGCTCGTGCATTGGCCCAGCGTTCTTGTCGATACCGTTTCGTCGGTAATAACAATAAATTGAAGAGCATCACACGCACACACAGGAAACATGGTGTGGAACAAGATATGTCCTTGTCACTTCAGCCGATTTTCTCTTCAGATTCGATTATTTAGACGACGCATTTATAATATACGTATAATATATATATATATATATATATATATATATGTACATATAGCCACGTCTTAAGTGCGTGTGGTGCTCATATCATAGATTGAAAAAAAAAACAATTAGGTACCCCCGAATCGATTTTTTATTAACCTCAAAACGAATTATAATATCCACATCGGGATATTCGCTTTTAGGTTACGTGATTATTTTCAAGATTCAAAAACGTGCGTTTTACGAATACATTACACGCAAGCACAACGTAAAGCAACTGTAGTAAAGAGTTATAAAATAATGATGTGCAAAAAATTTACCAAAATAAATTATTAAGGTTTTCATTGAGTTTTTGTACATTGAGAACCTATGGTTGAATTTACGCGCTCGACGTAGAACTACTAACCAGAGGACCGTGTTAGCGCTCGACACTATTTACGAGACTTGGTCGGGCAGGACTATCGCTTGCGGGGGGATCCCGTGTTGTCTATGGACCACCAGCACCGGCCTGAGCCGTACCCGTTTGGAACCCGTGGGGTTCCCCCTGGGTGAGGGTTTTGTTACTATCTGGCGCCGGTCCCACAGCCACCACGTGAGTTTTTGAACAGTAATTTCTTATCCAACAGAATAACGAACCCTTTTTTATACATACTATATATAATATATATAATAATATATATTATATATAATTATCGAGAACCATATCATGATTACATGTACGAACATGCGCAATACATATAATACATTTTATTAATACATTAGTCATACATATATAATTTAATAAAGTATTATTATAATCTATCATATCAACCTAATCGATATCATTAAAATATGTATATTAAATCATCATTATATATAAGTTAATTAAATATAAAATGTTATCGTGTAATCATCATAACATTATCAATAATCAACACTGAGTCAACACTTAATTGCCAATGGACATCGTATACTAATCATAACATTTATTATCATTAAATTGTTTTTTAATAAAGAATCTGTCGAGGAGGAAATATACATACACATACATTTTATAAGTAACCCCTGTTCATGATGACACTAAGTTGTCACTTTCCATCGAGAAAAGACGCAGACCAATATTCATGTGTATTTCTCATCCACTAGATAGCTTTTTAACAAGAAAAGTCTGTTGTTTTTATTTATCAAATTAATCATGCCTGGAAAACCCTAAAACAAAGTAGACGAAGAATTTCTACCAGTACAAAGGGTAACAAGGTAAGAAAACATTTTAATTCGCTGTTTTCCTATTTTTCCTCTTAAAGAAAAATATAATATAATTTTTAGTCTAACCTATATGGCTTGGATCCTATAGCGGACTTTTATTTTATTACAATCATTATATTTTAAATAAATATGATATGATGTAGAAGACATGTTCTCTATAGACGTCACTTTTCAGGACAAGAGTACGTTTCCTATGTCATTTTTCAAGGATATACCAATATCACCACTACAATACTCTATACTTGTCAACATCTCATCGCATTTGTATAAACTATATAAAAAAATGCCCGAGGTGCGGGGACCAAGCCCGAACGCGGCTTCGTCGTCGGAGAATTATTTCCAACGTTTGTTAAACAACTGTAATTCCAGTAAAATGGGCGGATTTCCGGGATATTTCAAGTATTCCACCCGTACGCTATAATAGAACGATATCAAAATAAAGAGTTAAGTCAATAATCATTGGTATAGTAATTTTATTCGACATCGACATAAATTTGATGTGAGAGAGATATTAGGTTTCTTTTCAACGTGGCAAAATTGAGAATTACCAACAAATTTTCGTAAGCAAATTAAACAAGCACCGTTTGGGTGAATACCATGAACACTGACCACGATGTTTGTCAACGGCGCATAAGCGTAAGTTATTTACAAGATTCTGAATAAATGCGTCCTTTTTTTAAAGTGATTTTTTTTTTCAAAAACGTTACACCGTTGGTCGATCGCACCTTGTTTCTCGCATGATCGGATATTAATATATATTAATACCCAACGGTAACGATGTGATGATTGTGCGTAGGTATAAACCGCGTGTCTGCCCCCATGAACGACATTGTTCGTCCGGTCCCGATAAAAACACGCCACGTAAATTTCACCGGAAACGACAGGCGCGCAGCGATGATGAACATTCCGTCGCATAGAAAAGATGAACGCGGAGCAACGTCGTCTAGATAATATTATTATAAGAACATTTTGTCGTATGAAAACGTCATAAGCGCTCGTTTTCCGGATCCGAAACGAATCGATGATGACGACGACAACGTGCAGTTCTCCCAACAGTACAATAAATTTGACGGAAAACGACGTCCCGATTAGGTAGTGGATGAACGGGAGGAAAAAAACAAACTACCCAAGTTCTTTTCATGAACAAATAATAATAGTAGTAATGAAAAATCATAATAATCGCGATAAGCAACGTTAGAATTAGTGATGGGCATAATCTCGATATATCGGTTTTGAAAACAATCGAAATATTTTGATTATCATAAAAATAATCGAATAATTTTGATGTGAGCAAATTTAACTGTTGTTTGGATCTTGGAATAGTTTAAATTTTTAGAATTGGCCACTGTCAAGCAAATATTATTACTAATTTATTGATCCAATTAGTTTATTTTAAATACGAAAAACAGTTTACACATATCACACTAGTGATATACACCACCACCTGCAGCCTTTTCACTTGAAATTACGAACCATTAACTTAGTAGCAATCCCACCCAGATGTGAAATAATTTGCACTATGGATTCAAAAAAATTTCACAGCAAATAGGCGATAAATTGAAAACAATCGATTTATAAATATGATCGGAACGGTCAGATGACAGAAGACAACTTGTTATCTTTATATTTACCGAAATTATAAATATAAGAAAATTTAGCACCAGTTGCAGGAAACGTATTTAATTACGCTTTCGAGTGAGACATACATATGCGGTTACTACACAAAATGCACATACGTCTATTATTGTTACCGAGGTCGAATTTTGAAAGTTTAAAAGAAATTTCCCTTTCATTTTTGTATAGTTAACATCAGGGGCATACATCAATTGCGCCGCAAATCGCAGGTAAAGAAAGAAAAATTATGATAGAAAAAAGGTATACATCAACTGCGCCGATCGATATTCCAATGTTATAAATTGTGTACGTCAATTGCGCCGATCGATTCTTAAATATATATAAACGTCTATAATACTATTTCTATAATAACTACATATAGGTTTTTACGTGTTTTAATCTAATATATTATCTATATCATAGGTAAGTTTGAATTATATTATTGTATTACTTGAAGATAAAACAAATTACAAAATGTGGACAAATACCGTGTTAGGTTATAGGTAAATCCATAGTATTGTGCAGTACAATTCCACGCGTTGTTCGTATAGTCGTTCGTTTAGTTGTCGTGGCTCGTGCTTAAATTTATAATGGAAATAGTATTAAGTGAACGTGGTAAAGAACTAATTATTTACCAAAATTATAAATTTTCTTACAAGGAACTTACGAAAAAAGGACATAAATGGCGGTGCGCACACAAAAGTTGCAACTCTAAGCTGTACGAATAAAAATCATAAGAATAAAAAACAAAAAACCATGGTTGAAGATAATATATCCAAGTATTTAAATGGAAATTTAGATATGTTTGAATTTGTACAACGAATAAGCTACCACTACAAAAAATGATTATAAGGTAGTATAATATAATAGTATAATAGTATAGTATAAGGTAATTAAATGTAAATCTATTTTTATATCTACATTTTCTAATTTTAATTAATTTTTTTAGATTGAGATTAAGATTCAAGGCACTTCATCAGAAAGATAAATTTGTATGTAATATATATATGTAAATTATTTTTATTTACTTTTAACTAATATAACTTTTTTAATACCAGCGCAATAGATGTATTCCTATTTAATATACATTTTTTATACCGGCGCAATAGATGTATACTATACAGGTAGTGTCCCAAATTCGGCGCAATTGACGAAACCCCAACATCAGAATTTGGATTAGATAAATTTGTAAATGTTTTTTCAACTCTGGGTTATTTAAAACGACGACCTAAATTATAAGTTCTTGAGAATTTATAGATAAGGATATTTCTCAAAATAGTGGCTTCATTAATATTGGGTACGATTTATACAGCCCATTAACATGTAGTTAAATATTTATAACTTCATTTTAAAGTATTTGATTTTGAACAGAATGCGCCAGAAGGGTTATTAAAATAAATCCAAAACGATTCCTCGTATCGTTAGTACTCATACACAAGTAATGAGAAAAAGCCATAATAAACTATTTTTGAACACGGTATTCGATATTTATACGTTATAGTTTTCAGAGTATAAAAAAGGGGTTTCGATTTTAAAATCAATAATTGGTCATCGATAATGCGGCATAAACCAAGGATTAAAAATAAATAATCATCATTATAATAGTTTATAATGAATTAGTGATTAAGAATGTTTTTGAAATAAGAAATATTATTCGAGGGATTAGAACACGATAGAATGCGATAAGCTTACACGTTTAATATAAATCCTTATATATATATAAAAGAACAGGCCTTTTTTATGTACCCATTATGTGACGATGCTATTTAACTTTTTTTCAATTTTTTTCACAGAATTGTTCCAAATACCTTCCAAAGTGTCATCACGTCACCCGATTTTCAAAATTTTGATTTTAAAAGGTTGAAATCGGTAAAAATAATTTTTTACATGTAATTTGTATATTATATTCATATAATAATAACAAAAGCAGTTGACCGATTACGGTTGCTATGACTTATGTAGAATTATATGGAAAATAGCGTTATTTTGACAAACATAAATAACCGAACTGACTCAATAAACTCGCTAATAATTAGTGGATTTCAAGCACTAGAAATGGATTACTTTTCTATCGATACATACAGTTATTAATAGTGAAAAATTGGTATATTTTCCTACCGAGTTTTTAAATTCACAAACACCATCTGGTATGCCTCCATATAAAATATCACTGAAGGTAGGAGTTCCAATCATATTACTAAAAAATTTGAATTTTTTTAGATAATGTAATGGGACTAGGCTTCATGTAACCTCTCTTACAAAAAATAACATTAAAGCTGAAATTTTGACTGAATGTGCTAAGGGAGAAAAAATATTTTTACCGAAAATACCATTACACCCCAATGATTTTCCAGTTAAGTTTAGAAGAGTTCAATTTCCAATAAAAGTCTGTTTGGCAATGACAATAAACAAAACCCAAGGTCAGACATTAACTTACTGTGGTGTAGATTTGGAAAATAACTGTTTTTCACATGGGCAATTAATTGTAAGTGGCATTGTCTAGAGTTGGAAAATCTGACCATTTATTCTTTATGTACCACTAAATGAAACTCAGAATGTGGTATATAAAGAGGTTTTGACTTAAGCCATATTAGAATTGAGCAACTGCCAAGAGTCTTTTGTAAATATTATTATTATTTTTTTTGTTTTGTTTATAATTCAGCCACTACTACTATTTAGCTTTTGATAGCATTAAGTAAAATACATTTTTTTTTTCTTTAAAACACAAAAATGTGTGTTGATTTAAAAATTTCATTTCGAGAAAGCAAATAATACACACGGGCGAAGCCGGGTAATTCAGCTAGTGTAACTATAAACGTTAAGCATACGATGTTGCGTGATCTCGCGGAGAAATTCGTAACACGTTGGAACCGTATAATTAAGTTTTTGAAATTCACAGTACAATACTTGTTTTTTGTGCAATACGTCCTAAAAACTCAGAGATAGCAACATCAGTAGGTATAACAAAAATTACTCGCTATAAACATTCTAGAGAGATCTTCAGCGGTTGTTCACCAAAACACTGTACGTAAAACGTACGATGTATATAATCGTACAGGAACGCTCCCCTTTAATCTTAAAATCAAATGCGTTGATATTTGAGCTTTGTGTATTTATTGTTATTTATACTGCCTTTCGGTAATACGATACCGGGGTTTTTTCTATGAATCACATAATTCTGTTTAAATTTAATGATTCATTTAAATGCAAACAAAACGCATGTAAATATACATATGCGGGCATATGTCAACACGGCAACAATATGTTCTGATATATATTTACTGAAATTTCGATAAAAAAAAAAAAACCGTTGTTATAAATCGACGAAATTATGACACAAATAAAATATAATAATTATAATTCGCCGTTTTTTCACTTCTCACGCATAGAAATATTATAATATCAAGGGATAAATAATTGGATGGCGCGATTTGCAATATCTGTTTACCGTATAACAACAATATACATAGAGTGAATTATATTTAACACACGTGCTTATGGAGTTCGAGATATGCTGATGGGCCGCGGGGACACGAAAGTCACATAAAAGTTTCTACGTTTCATAATGTTTTTAACACCGCGGGACGTCGTCGGTCGACCATGCACATAGCTCGGCAACGTTTTCGATTATTATTATCATTACTTTTCCAAAAGCAATCGTCTTGCCCAACAACACTTCGCGCGTATCCATCGTTATTATATTATTATAATGATATCGTTACGAAACACATACACGTCGAGCCGTCATGAAAGACGATGTCTGGTCGATGGAAACCGGACGATACACCGCGCGCGGTTGACGAGACTCGTAACGATCGCGAGTCAATAATAATAATAATGTTTCCTGTTACCACAAACGCGATACTAATAATACGATAGCAACACACTTGACCATTCTACTACAACGCACACACACGCACATATATTATTAAAACCAGTAACCACACTACCGCGCACTCTCGTCCTGTGTACGTAGTGCATAACCCGACTTAACAATATTATTATCTCATCGTATGTCAGAGTGGATCTTCTTCTAATAACAGAGGCCCCCGCGCGCGTTGTT